CCCCAAAACCCCAAAACCCCAAAACCCCTAAATACATAAAATAAATTGAGATATCTTAGGAAACATAAATATGAAAAGAAAAATACTAACAATGTTGACCTTGGAAGACTTGGTCAAAAAGTGGATATTAATTTGAACATAACTAAAAAGGCTATTTCATCCAAGAAGAAATTGATCAAGGTGGGACCTAAGGCTTTAGAGCAGCCCTCTGATGATAAAATTCTTTCTTCAAATAAAGAGCAGAAATCAGCAGTTGATAACTCTAGAAACAGCAATATCAGAGAATCGCTTAGTAAAGGAAAGAAAGATTCAAAGAAGGAAATCAAAGTTGAGGATACTAATGAAAGTAAATTTTACCCTAAAAAGGAAAACAATCAGTTAAGAGTAACTCAAAGTTTGTCGAGCAAGTTAAGGCAACAGAAGAAGACTCTCCTCGAAGAAACATTATTGAGGTAAAGTTGGATTTTGAGTTTTCTAATAAACAATAGTCTAAGAGAACTATATTTACTAAATAAAAGAGGCTCAGTTAATAATTTCGAGATTCATAGTGCAATGAATAATGTGAAGCAACTAAGTATGATATCATTGTTAAATTTTACAGTCAATTCAGAAGAAACAGTGAAATATTCAACTACGCAGCTATAAAAATGCAGCCCAAAGCTTATAATCAAGAGACAGCAATAAAGAAAATTCAGTCAGTTCCGGAGACTGTGAATAAGGATCAATCTTTTGGTATTTTTCCTTGTTAAAAATATAAGAAAATGTGAGTAACTCTTCATTACCAAGAGTTAAAAACAGAATTCTAACACAAATTCTAATGAACATAGAAACATGCAGGTAGATTTATGACTAATCTTGTAGGATTCTTTCGAGGATGAAGAGAAACTTGAGGAGACAAAGGATGAGCCTAAAGGCCTTAATATCCTCAAGCCTTCTATCAAGATAACATAAATCCTGAATTTGAGATACTTAACCGTATTTATGAAAAATCATATCAAAATCAAAATAGCCAAACAAGAAGAGAGGGAATAGACATAAAGCCAAATATTTCAGGTAAGATTCCACATAATTTGTAGGTTGATTCCTAAGAATCCCATGATGAGAAGGGAGATACAGAGGGTCGACCCTGGAGTTCTAGAATCTCCTGAAGAGATAAGAGTAATTACTCTTAAACATTTAGAAACGGTAAATAAAATACTTAAAGCACAAACTGTTATTTTCTTTTACTAGTCCTTAGGTTAAGGTTTTAATGATGATAGATGCAAGAGCCGAGTTGAAGAAAATTATCAAAAGAGGATAGTACATAAAAGGCTAATGATGAGTAAGATTTGTCCTTCCATTCATTAAAATTTCTCTAGTCCAAATGTTAAACGAGAGAGTGAAGGGTCAAGTTGAGCATTCTCCAGAAGATGCTTATAAGAAGCTTAATCAGAATCCGATATTTAAAAATCTTGGGATTGCCATAAGAGATTGTAATGAAAACTCTATTCAAATAAGTCCAAAAAATAAGAGAAAAATTGATAATAGGATTAACCAACCATCTGGCAATAGCTTAGGAACACCTAAGAATTCAGACAGGTTCCGTTGCGGAGGCTTCTCTTATGACTCAGACATCCCCCTCTCTACTAAATATCCAAGTATAAATTTCAATAAGTTTGGGTACTTGTATAATTTTTCAAAGCAGAGAGGTCAGGAACAGGCTGAGAAAAGGAAGAATCTGACTGAAAAAGTTTCTGTAGAGAGTTTATATGAGGAGCCTGATATCCCAAATATCCAACAAATCATAAAAAATCCTTGTATATTTAGCATTAGAGACAAACTGATGACTAGAAAATTGTCAGATACACATCGGCCTCCTTTGACTACCAGCCAACAGACTTCTAAAGAGTTAGTTAGGATGAAATGTGAGCAAAGGCATAGAAAAAATCTGTCTTTGCAAATAGAGCCAGTTCAGAGTAAGTACTCTCTTTGAATTTGTAGAGGGAATTAAGAATATTCTTATTGATAGAAATTCTAAATTTCCAGAGAAGATCCCTGCAAAGGTCAAAAGCACCTACCTCCATAACCTCATGGATGATAAGAGTTTTTGCCCAAAGTTAGTTCACAATGGAGGTCGCCCTCAAGACAAAGATGGTTTTGAGGAATCAATCCGTGGTCAAGAAAAAGCTGTAATCGTCATTTCTCATTTTACTTTCATAATTAGAGGACAATCAATCAATCTGAAGTTGAACTATTCTGCAGCTTATAAAGCTTATATGAGAAAGCTGGATCTTAATAATAGCATGAAATATCTTTAGATTTGCAAAATGGCAATATCATTAAATATCTTAGAGTAATTTCAGTGAAATTTGAAACTGAGAAAAATGTGAGGATGCATTCAAACATAATAATTTCGGCTGTTTGAATTCTGGATCTGCGTTATGTTATCTAGGAGAGAGTTAAAATATTTAAATATTAATCCAAGAAATGATTACTTTCAAAGTATAGATCTGAAAACTTCTTTCAAACTCCAGATCTTATTATGATATCTCAAAATGATCGATAAATTTCTGATGACCACCTCTTCAATTATTTAGGAGATATTGTAAAATCAAAAGATGATAAATAGCTGTTATATTTATAAAAAATAAAATTTAATTGTCAATGATAGAGGGATATAGGGAGTATCAGGATCAACGTTCTTATGCTCAGAGCTATGCAAATACTAGTGGGTATAATGCCTGGAATTACTCCTTATTTGGATATAATGATTATACAGTTCATAACCAAGATTTTTGGGACAATATAATTCCAACTATAATTCTGACAATTTTAACTGTAGTCCATCATATAATAATGAATTGGGGTTTTGGGGTTTTGGGGTTTTGGGGCTTTGGGG